CAAGAAACACTTAAGAATATTTCTACACTTTTCCGTTCTTTTATTCTTGTGTATTTTACTTCTCATTCTAAGTTGTCTCTTCCGTAAGTCAAGAAACAATTAGAAACATTTTCTGTGCATTGTATTTTTATATACCATTTTATTTCCTTGTTTACTAAGTTATTTCTTTCGTAAGTCAAAGAATACTTAGATTATTTTACCTGTTCTGTTTTCTATTTTGATCTGCTATTTTGTAACTGTTCCTTGGAACTGTTACCTATAACAGATACTTGTCACGGTAACTGTTATTTTATACCAGTAGCAGTATTAACACGTTTTACCAGCGACAAGCAAAGATGGTCAACACCCGATCAAATTCCGGGGACAGGAAGAAGTCCGAAGAGCCGGCGATGGGTCCTACAGGCCCAAATGCCCCCTCTCGGCAACATGGCGCCCAACCCACTAAAACCGAATCCACGACCCCAGGACCGTCTTCGAGCCAGCCTGCTACAGCTGACTTTATCTCTGCCTTGATGCAAGCGATGACGGCCCTATCCACAACTCAAGGCACTGCACCCCAGATGCCTCAGCGTGAGACACCGAAGTCCAGGATAAATTACACGAAGCCCCCTCAATTCTCAGGCCGGGACACCGAGAATCCACTCAGCTTTTGGACAAAAGCTGAGAATTTCTTAATCAAACATGACGTAGACAAGGACCAATGGATCGACTACCTCATAGACAATTCCCTCCACGGCGATGCGAAGAAATGGGCTCAAAAATTTTCATACACGGACCTGCCATACACCACATTTCGAGACCGTCTCCTAAGGAGATACAATGACCCTGCCGCAATTTCAACCCTGACGTCGAAGCTTTATGGAGAACATCAACGTAGTGACGAATCCACGGAGGAGTTCATCAACCAGAAATCTGCCTTATTTAGACGTCTCATGCCACATACCCCCGAGGACCAGAGATGTATAACGATAGCGAACTTACTGAGACCTGACATCGCGATCTGCCTGAGAGCGAACATCCCCAAGACCGAGGAAGACCTTCTGACAATCGCTCAGGGCATGGAATATGACATCCGCCGGACCGGCAAACCCCAGCAGCAGCAACAGCAGCCGTACCGTCCCCCACGTCAGGATAACGCTCCACGACACCCTGAGGCGATAGACGAATGGAGGCACCCCAGCGGACAGCACAGGATGCCCTCAATGAACCAACCACCACCTCCAACCCCACAGAACCAGGGAAACGCCAATCGGGGCGCCAACTGAACCCTGTTGTGAAGATGGTGCCCCAACTGAATCCTATTCAGGTACAACACTCGACAGCAGGCCTCCCCCAACTCTATGGAAGGATCAACGGGCAACAAGTGAAGATTTTGATCGACACCGGTGCCTCCGGGAACTTCGTTCACCAGAGGTTGATCCAGAGACGGGACCTGCAACGAGGACCAGGACTGGTTCAGCTGGCATGCACGGGCAGCACATCCCGCACCCTAGGGACTGCTGCAGTCAATATGAACATTGATACTCTGGACACGACTGTAAACTGCATGGTTATGGAGGATTTGAACCACGACGTTGTGTTAGGGATGCCTTGGTTGGAGCAGGAAGAGGCCAATGTAGACATACCCCGAAAATGTCTACACGCTGGTACTGCCTGCCGAACCACCATCTACTGGGCGACCCCAGCAGAAAGGCAAGCCAAACCACAACAGGTGGAATTCCATCAAACCCCATCCCAACAAGCAGAGCAGTCAACCCAAGAGGACAATGAAGTATTAGACAACCGTCCACGTCAGCCGACCACTGAAGAAACCGAAACAGCGGACATCAGTACAGGCACACCCGAAGAAGAAGAAGAAGTTCCACTACTAGAGACGATGGAGGACGTCGACGAGGAGGAAGAACCTAGCCTAACAGCAGATGACATGCCAGACGCCGAATGCCTTCTATTGATAGAGACAATGGAGCATGGCGACGAGGAGGAGGCCACCGACCCCATCCTCGACGGTCCGGTCGACATACCACTTCGAGAGGAAATCCGGAGAAGTCACCGGACACGCAAGAGAAAGAAACGACTTCTGAGGCACGAGCAGCAAACCTCCGAAGACGCACCCAGGAGCGAGATTGAAGAGAATCTCCTCCAAGAGTTCACGATGGTCGACGATGCTGACCATAGGACCCTGACCCCTCCGGACGGACGGGATGAAGGAACCACAGCGAAGCCGACCACCAAAGACGACCAAGGATAAGGTCCCATTACGACACGTGGAGATATCAAGGTGAATTGACTAGCCTTATATCTTCACGACGTCGTAGGACCTCCTCAGGGTGAATAAAGTAGCCCTGACGGAAGCAGACGACCCACCTAGACCACCTGGACCATCTGGACCGCCTGGACCACTATAATTTTAAGTATGATATATCTTAGTCGCTAGCGTAAGTTTGAATTGTATTTGTATTGTATTTTTTTTTTTAGGTTAAGGATTTCTTATTGTATGTATTTTGATTTTGATTTATCAATAAATTTTCTTTTAGCAGCGTTAGGTCTTTCAGAGGAGGGGGGATGTCTCCGGAGGCGTGTCAAGCAGAAGCTGACCGCCGTGCCGGACGCATTTAGAAATTCGGAGAAATACTTGGAAATTCCAAGTGTGGGCAAATCCGAATTTCTAATTGACTCGATGTAGGGAAATTCCACTTTTACTACCTAAAACAAAGGATTTGTTTTATATAAAAGCAGACGGAATTTCTCTCATCGGTCAGTCGAGCTTGCCTCTTCTACTGTAGACCTAGTCGGTGCTATTATTGTTCCAACTAAGTTATTGTTTTATTTCTTATTTCCTGATAACCATTTATATTTTATTATTGTATATTCAGACCTTTTCAGGTTAGAATATTACTTTGACTTATATTTGTTCATATACTGATTATTTGATATTTTATTTGATTATTTTGATTGTTTATTTTTCTTGTATTTTGTATCTAAGTTGTTCTTCCGTAAGTTAAGAACACTTAGAAATATTTACCTTACTTTTTTTCTATTTTATAAATTTGATTTTGTACTTTGTGTCTAAGTAGTTCTTTCCGGTAAGTCAAAGAACTCTTAGAAATATTTCTCTGATATTTGACTCGTTAATTTTATTGTGTGCCTAAGTCATTCTTTTCCGGTAAGTCAAAAGAACACTTAGAAATATTTTCATAATCATTATTGCATTATTATTTCCGATATTTATCTAAGATATTTTCTTAATATATTTGTCTCTTTTATTTTACCATTTCATGCTGAGTTGTTTCTTCCGTAAGTCAAGAAACACTTAGCAATATTTCCATATCTTTTCTGTATTTGATTTTCTTATTATAAGTTGTTTCTTCCGTAAGTCAAGAAACACTTACAAATATTTGTATTCTTATTTTACTATATTTGATTCTCTTGTTTGTTTTTTTTTGTTCTAAGAAACACTTAGAAATATTTCCATACATTGTTTCATATTTACATATTTCATTTATCTATATTTCTGTCTTAAGTTGTTTCTTCCGTAAGTCAAGAAACACTTAAGAATATTTCTACACTTTTCCGTTCTTTTATTCTTGTGTATTTTACTTCTCATTCTAAGTTGTCTCTTCCGTATGTCAAGAAACAATTAGAAACATTTTCTGTGCATTGTATTTTTATATACCATTTTATTTCCTTGTTTACTAAGTTATTTCTTTCGTAAGTCAAAGAATACTTAGATTATTTTACCTGTTCTGTTTTCTATTTTGATCTGCTATTTTGTAACTGTACCTTGGAACTGTTACCTATAACAGATACTTGTCACGGTAACTGTTATTTTATACCAGTAGCAGTATTAACACGTTTTACCAGCGACAAGCAAAGATGGTCAACACCCGATCAAATTCCGGGGACAGGAAGAAGTCCGAAGAGCCGGCGATGGGTCCTACAGGCCCAAATGCCCCCTCTCGGCAACAAATCATCATCAAAATTGGATTTAGTTATTTCATATTATCGCGTTTATCTTGTTTTTGTATATAAAATACGTTGTTTAATGTTTAAATAGAATTGTTCCTTATCTTTACTGATCAATAGCTCATCACCGCGTTCATTTGTTGTTTTTTATTTCGTTTATATTAGAAAAATACCTTATCTGACTATTTTCTATTACAAATCTTTGAAGTCGTTCATCAAAGATTTTTTAAATTTCATCACATGTTAAAATTATATTCTTATCAAATTTATTAATTGCACTGATATTTTTGATAATTATAGAATATTATTGAAAGGGAAAAATATAAACAATAAATCTAATATGGCCACATCATAAATTAAATCAACATACCAGAAGACGACTTTTGGTATTTTGCTAAATATTTTTAAATTTAGTTGCGCCTTGCAAAATAAAGTAAATAATATTTTGCAATACAATTTTTAATTAACAGCTTTAGATTTATTTCATTGCAGATATCCATTTAGCTTAAATACTTTAATACAGTGCTCACGCATTTACCTACGTCACTAAACTTTCCATTAAATTAATTGTGTTTCTCGCCGAGTTCCTAGGGATTGTGTTGGGAAACAACATTTAATATTTATGACCTAATTATTTTGGTAATGAATATTCACCTACTAAGACCAGAAAATTATCAGAACGAACACCTACAAACCAAGTTATAAAGTTTTATCACAGACTGAGTTTCCTTGCTAAAAGGGGGTTATTAGAATGCGATAGTTGGCGAAGACGGTAAAAATGCGCTATGTCATAACTAAAGCTCGGATTTATAGGCAACAAAAATTGAAGAAAAAGGCGCCTATATAGGCAAAGATTTTTATTAAAAAAGGCAGGAATATTAACATTTAGGCAAAATATAGGCAATAAAGGAATATAACTTATTATTTATTGTACAAAGTAAATTAACGTAATATTAACTTAAGGCAAGTATATTTACACATCATAATCATAACATTAGTATAAATAAACTAGTAACTAAATAACTGTTAATTAATAATTAAACATTGTAACCACTTAAAATTTTATCATTAATAGAAACAACTAAATGTTTTTCAATATTTTCGGTCTTAAAACTATGTCTTCGATCACTTAAAATTAATTTGTACATTGAAAACGAACGTTCGACATCGACAGATGTAATTGGAGCATATTTCAGAGCGGATAATAAATCTGGCATAATTTGAAATTCCTCGGAAAATGTCCCATTCAAAACTTTAGCAACATTAGATAAAAACGAAAAACCTTCATTCTTGTCGAAAACATATTTCATTTTTTTAAAAATTAATTGACCGTTACTTCCAGGTGCCGATTTAATTTTCGTCTTTAAATTATCTATTAATTTTACTGACTCACATAAATTTATCTCTTGTTTTTCTAATAAGGTAATTGTGGTAACTATTAATTTATAATTGTCATTGATATAACCGAGTTCCTGTTTCAATTTGGGATTTTTTAATATTTTTTTTGCTTCTCGAATGGCTTCGGAAATATCATCATCAAATTCTGACATAACTAATTCTATTTCATTGCAGTGTTCAAAGTAAAAAAAGACTGCTTCGAGCCAGGTTCCCCACCTTGTAATTACTGGTTTAGGTGGCAAAGGGACACCGGGAAGTCTTTCTTTATATATTTGCACCCTCAACGGAGCCTTTACAAAAACTTTTTTCATAAAATTTATAAAATTATTTACCAACGGAAACAGATTTCTTATTTCTTCAGCAATTCTATTTACCCCGTGGGCTACACAAGTGCAATGAATTAAATTAGGATAAAAAATTTTTAAATTAACAGCAGCTTTTAACATATATGCCGCAGCATCTGAAAGCATTAAAACTATTTTATTCACTGGTATAGCGTTGGGTAAAAAGAGGTTTGTTAAACTATCTTGTATAAATCGACTTATTGTTAAATTGTTTGTTTTTTCCAATTCTTTAACGGCAACTAAATAAGGTTTTCTCGCAAAGTTTTCGTTCAAAATTCCAATCATTAAATTAGCTATATACCTGCCGCATACATCTGTCGTTTCATCCACGATAATATACAAAAAATTGCCCTCCAACTCGTGCTTAATTTTTGAAATACATTCCACATAACATTTTTCCACAGTATGTTTTCTCAATGTACTCTCGTCCGGTAAGGATTTATTAAGATATTTTTCAAAAAAGCGTTTAAAACTAGGGTTATTAACTTTATATAGAGGAATGTTGGATGCAATCATCATCTGGCATAAATCAAATTTAAATGCGTCTTCCTCCTTTTTTTTTGAACTGCTTAAACTATCCCGCAGAGATGTTTGGGCTAACTTAGAGGAATTTAATTTTTCCAAATTACGTTTATGAAGTGGGGTTCCACAATGCTGGTCAATAAAGTACTTTTTTCTACTTGAAATCTGAGAATTAAAAAAAAATAATTAGAATTCTAAAACCGCTTTAGAATTTAGTTATGTTGTGGGACGAGAAAAAAAGAAAAAAAAAATAAAACTTACCGATTTGCCGCATGGTTTACAAAATGCTCCATCTCCTTCTAGAGAAAGTTCCGAATAAGGTGCGATCCATAGCCTTAATTTAGATGTCATCTTTTCACACAACTGTCTTGAACGTTTTAAAACGTGTTCTTTGCTTTTCGGTATACGCAACAAAACTAAACTAGGATATAGCAATTTGCTAATTTGTGAGTAAACTCTGATACAGTAACCGACTGTACAACTGATAATAAACTAATAAAGCTTAGGGATTTCCAAATAGTTAACCCTCAAGTCTCGATCAGGTACATTTTCCTAGAAATCTATTATATAAACAAACCATTGATATTTTATTATTGACCCAAAATTTTATTATAGAATGGTTTAGTAATAGAATAATATCATGGGTAGTACCATGAAATTTTAAAAAAGGCACAAATAGGCGGAATTTACGAAAAAAGGCAAAAAGTGCAAAAAACACTTATAATAGGCAAAATAGGCAAAAAAAGGCATTTTGCCTATAATCCGAGCTTTAGTCATAACCATTAAACTTCGGAGTAGGTACCTATCTAATATTTTAAAATAAATTAATTATTGAAAAAATTAATTTTATAAAATAGTTATAGATTTTATTTTAATTTATGGGTCCAATAATATTCATCGAGAAATTGGGTCTCAATAATTTGGTTACAAAGTTAGGTAGGTTAAATGTAAGATAATAATAAGCCAAACGAAAAGAGACACGTTGAAAAATCAAGAATAGGGTGTCACATATCGATATTATAAAAATGGATCGCAAAATGTGTTGGTAAGCGCATAACCACAGCCACCTTTACTTTCAAGCCATGAAGTAAAAAAGGCAACACCGCATTCTATGACGTCGGTAGTCCGATAATCAGCTGTAAGGTCTACCAGAAAATTAAACTAATTTGTCAAATGACGGTATTGCCATGATCAATTTCGCCAGGTAGAAATCGTATGATTTCTCTTTTTGTAAACTAATTTGAATTTTAGGAAACTGATATTTTGAAAACTTCAATTCATTACAGAAATATTTTTAGGGAAATTAAATTAATAAAACCCTATATATACCTAATAAATATATATAAAATTTTATTATTATTAAGGTTATATTATCAATAAAGTACTCATTAGAGTAAAATTTATTGCACTTAAAATACAGTATCAAACAGTTAATCTTACAATCAAATGCAGTCAAGATTCTCTAGAAATTTTAAATATTAAGTACTTAAGCATATAAATAACACAATACATTAACACGACATTTAAAAATATTATTAAAAATACAAAAGATATAAAATTTGTTAAGTAAAAACTTAGTGTAACTATTATGATTAAAAAATTCATCCTAAGAAATCAGACACAATATAAATATGGTTCTAAATTAATCTAATTGAAAATTAAATATTTTACTATTTACTTATAACTTTTGTTCATACTTAGTTGTATTGTTTTGAATACATACTAATTTGAATTTTCATACTTAGTTATGCGAAAGTAGCAATTTTATATATGAATAGATTTTTTGTCATATAAACCAAGTTAAAAGAGGTATGCATGAAAAATGTGTTGAATGTAACATACCATTGATAACTTGTATATCCATTTAAAATAGCCTATATTCTCAAAAGATTTTTGAATGTAATACTCAAATTTGTTATCACTTATCTAAAAAGCAGATCTATATAGAGAAAGTCAGTTTTCTAATTGTGACCATCTTGTTAATTTACTATATTGTAAAATCCATTTCAAATCATTACTACTTAATCCATTCTTACCTACATTGACGATTACACTAAAATTACTGCTAACTATTACACTACTTATTACACCAATATTATCACCCTCGTGTCCCAGCTGATTAATGTTTAATACATAGAAATATACACAGTCACTTGTAATTTTACTTGTCCAGTTTTTCAATGGGATATTATTGTCTAAGAATTCTGTTATCTCTTGTTCCTTCTTCTTATGCAAAAAGTTTCTTCTATCTTCGGGATTCCTTCTTTCTTTAGTACGATGAACAGTTACATACGATGGTGCTTCAGAAAATATATTAGGAACTGTATTGTCTTTTAATTTGGAAAATATTAACTTTTTAATGTGTATATTTCCATCTTTATCTTCTCATTGTTCAGTCCGCTGAATATCTTCTTCATAAAAATGTTTGGCACATACTACGGAAGATTTGGTAATTGTATAGCCTTCTCTATGAATAGAGCATAACCCAGTATACCTTCTTTGGGGATCTTTGGGAATCGAAAACGTACTTTCTGCCTATTTCGTTTTTAAAGTACTGGCATAATTGGTTTTGCTACCAGGTACACAACAATGCCAGGGCATCTGTAACAAAAAACAAAATTATTATTATTGTTGTTTTTAGTTTACATATTTTGTAACAAGAAGCAAAAGTATTATTATTTTCAATTTGTTTTGTAGGTTATATTTATACTTGCCTGTTAAATTGTCGTTAAGAATCTTCTAAAAGTTCTAAAGTAATTGAAATTTCACTTATATTAATATTTTCTAATTGATTTAAACACAATTTACAAATAAAACATTCAAATTCAGTTAAAAAAACACTAAATTCGACAAACTTTACAAGCCTTCCTATATGAAATCAAATAAAATGTTAAACAAAACAAACCACGGTCGGACTACCACGCTTTGTTGCCAAATTTCTACTTCATGGCTTAAAAATAAAGGTGGCTGTGGCATAACTCAACAACGCATCAACCAATCCTAACAATTCTTTTTTTTTAAATGTTTCTTGAAGTCTAAGGTTGGTTTTTGCAGCATGAAAAATTTGAATAATTTGCGGTAAAACAGCCCTTTTCTTTTTCCCTTTTCCCATACCATTTTTTAACTAAATGTAGAGGCAATTTAAACTTTATTGCTATTCAATAAAGTTTATATTAAATTACAAGCACTCACTGTTGTCTAAACAATGTAGGTGTGTTCCTAACGTCGAAGATTCAATTTGCACTTTATTGTCGCTGCACAAAGTTAAAATTCAATCAAATGTATGTGTGTGCACATTCGTGTGTGTGCACGTTCGTGTGTGTGCGTGTTTGCGTTGGAGGATCTAATGCGTTCACACAAAAGTGATAATATCGTGAACTCGACCAAATTAAAAAGTCAAAAGATATAAGAGCTATAGATTTGACTGCTTCTTTCTTTTGTTTTAGTTTTGGAATGCGACATAAATTGCATCAGTTTTTCTGTTGTTGTATTTGTCAAACAAACCAATGTTTGTTTCCAGAAGATGTTTCCATATGTTGCTTAAAATTGCAGAAACCATGATTGGTTGAGCGAACGGGCTATATTGGCTTTAAAAAACATTAATGTAAATGAATTAAATTTCAAAATTCAAAAACAAATTACAGGTGAATTGAGGATATATAAATCAGTTGATTCGGCTACTAACCAAGATGATGTAGTCAACTATCCGCCTGAATTTTTAAAACTCGCTGAATTTACCAAGATTGCCTCCTCGCAATCTTTAATTAAAGCTTGGATCGGTAGTTTTAATGTTGAGAAATGTCAACCAACCGTGTCTTTGCAACGGCACACGGTTAACGATAAAAAATTATTGAGCAACGTGATATAAGCAACTATACTAAAAGGAAAGTATAAAGAAGAAGACATTTTTATATTACGTATCCCAATGATTCCAACTGATCATTAATGACTGGTCCTAAGACCAATCATTAGGTGTTTGTGGTATTAACCTAGAAAACCCATGTTTCTCACATGGTCAATTGTATTGACCACGATTTTAAATAATATGGCGTATAAAACTGTAAATATTTTATGACTAATTCTTTTTTTATTGATTCTCGTAATTTGTAGGTCAAAATCTACCTGAGACACGTTGGGTTCCCCTTCGCTATAAAAAACGACGAATAAGAGTTTTCTGGAACCGCACCGATACCAGTTTTTAGATCATTGCCGCTCTGTCTACGAGGGCCTCGTATTTTCGACAACATTCTATTTACCAGTCTATTCGATGGGGTTCCGTTACAATGAAGAAGGTCATCGATCTTTCTAGATAACGGAAGTTTATGTATATAAATGAAACATTTTATTTGGAGCGGTCAGTAAGAAGATAAATTCGTGGCTCGGTAATTAAATGTACGAACGTAATAAATAGTTGTAGTTATTTAATAAATTGATAATAAATTATCTTGAGTTTTAATAAATTAGAATAAAGACAATAAATTAGGACTAATAAAAATATTACAGTATGTTGCCTGTTCTGTATTTAAAAACCATCAGATTTGTTTGTATATTCATCAGGTAATAAAAAAAACATTGTATATCATAAAGTACTACAATAAAAATAAAACAGATTTTTGTTAATAATTATTATTCACTAGCTTTACAATAAAGAGATTACTGAAAGTACTTATATACGTTTTATTTTATTTATTCTTTATTACATCGGTTATTAACCCTATGTTAATAATAACAACAATAATAAATAATTAATTATTTCTATGTTTTGTCATTGAAACACTCACTTTATAAAAATTTGTCACCTTTAGGTTTCCAATATCCCTTTATATTATTTTTCAATCAGGTTTAAACCTTAAGTTTACCTCTCAGTTGACAGACATCCCCGAGTTTTTTGAGCCTACATGAATTCATATACCTAACAATAAAGCAAAGAAAAATTTTGTTTTTAACACTTTCACAAAATTTATTTTAAATTATTATTATTACAGCTGTTTCAACCAGAGTATCTTTCTCAAGTGATCTATTTTTGGTATATTTTACACTTTATAATCTTTAAGTGAATAAGTTGGGGATAGGTCCCCAGTTGGTCATTCAGAATAATTATGTTTATATTTTTTAAATTGTTGATTTCCTTAGATTCTAATAAATAAGATTAAGGTGGCCTTTAGTTTGAATATGAAGAATTTGAAAATTGTCATTAAAAAAATCATTATGGTCTAGAAAGTAAAGTGCGTACGTAGAATCTGTTTTTCTATAATTATAAGCTCTTTTATGTTCTGCTATACGTTTGATAAAATTTCTACCAGTTTAACCGATGTAAGTTTTTGGACAGTCGCCACATTTAAGTTTCTATACACCGCTGTGTAATTGCTTTTTCTTTTGGCTCTTGTTGTTCTTAATATATTTGCCCAAGTTGTTGTTTGTTCTAAAAGTGTTATTTCGTTCTTTTTTATGTGTTTGGCTATTTTTGTTGATATCTTGCCTGCATATGTAATCAAGCAGAAAGTACTGGGTTATTTCTCTGGCCGTGGAAATACTAATTTCAGGGCTTTATTAGGTAGTTTTTAAATGAAAATTTTATTTATTGTGTGTTTGTTGTACCCATTGTTTACCGTTATTTACGAATTTTGCGAAATATTTAATTCTTAAAATCCACAAGGAAAATAATTCCTGCAACTGGCTGTTTACCACGTATCACAAAAAAAGAGGTTAAATCTTTGTAAGTGGGTATATTTAAAAAAACCCTTAAAAGGGCTACATCAAATTAACACGAACGTTTTGGGAATAATAATTCCATCATCAGGTTAAAAATGCAGGTTAACATGCCTGAGCCACCAAAATATTAGGGTAAAAACCCTTTAAAATAAATAAGGTAACCAAAGATTGTACATATTGTTATTAATAATAATTGATGTTTAATATTTAATCATATTTTACTTCAGGTAACATACACCTATGCCTTACGTGAGTACCAGCGTCCGGAGAGTAGACCTCTTCAAACGGGCTTCAGCTGGTAACTTCAGCAGTTACAGTAAAAGTCCAATGAATAAAATCTTCAAAGAAAATTCAAATTAAAAATATTTTGTAAATCAAAGTCTAATTGAGAAAAAACATGGGTATCAATTATGGGTGTTGCCGCCTCTAGCCCTTAGGACTTCTTGGAGCTGGTTTGGCAATCCATTTATGATATCCTGGATATTAGATTGGGGGATATTGGCCACTCCTCTACCGCAGCTGTCTTCAGCTCTTCAAATAATAAAGGGGCTGGTACTCTTGCTCTTACCCATCTTTTGAGGTTGTCCCAGATATGCTCAATTGGTTTAAGATCGGGACTGTGTGCTGGCCATTGTAAAACTTGAATCCCGACCTCATTAAGGTACTCACGGGTAGCTCTTGCTCTATGGCAACGTGCATTGTCATGCATTAGTCTGAAGTTATTACCAATGGATGGTGCAAAAGGCATGATATGGTCTTGGAGAACTTTTTGCACGTATACTTGGGCATTCACACATACTCTACCAAACACAACAAGATCAGTACACGCTTCGCGCTTCGTAAGAAATACCTCCCCAAATCATTATTGGCCCTCTACGTAAGCCATTATTTTGGTTATAGCACACGCAGCAAACCTTTCATTTTGATGCTTATAGACACGTTAGCGTCCATCTGGACCTTTTAGAGCTAGCGTGCTCTCATCTGAGAACAGTATTTTCTTCCATGCTTCCACAAAATAACTTTTTTTTTAAGAATATTTTTTCTCTTCCTCGTAGATAAAAATTGATAAAAAAAACATGTCTAGTTGTTAAAACACCTAACTTTTGTATTTTTAGACATAAGCGAATCAATCAAATAAAAAAATGTTGAGAAAGCATGGAGCTATAGTTACGATTTATTTTCAGTATTCTACAAATGCTAGAATATTCCACGGGGTGATGCAAACTTTAAGAAAAAAACACAGTTTGATTCGTACACCGAGTTTAAAATAAAAATTTACCTGTTTAGCAGCAATAGTATTCAGATATTGGGTTTAGGAGATAAAGCAAATCAGAAATTACCCATTTTTAAGGTGGCCCCAAGTTTTGATCTAAACACCAACAAAAATCAAAAAAAAACTGAATGGCCAGTTCATTTTGCACCCCACTGTATAATCTATTTATGAAAATAATTACTAATTGACTCAAGCTAGATTTTTACCAACCACTAGAGCAAGCCTAATTTAGGAGTGGCTTTGGAACGAATAACCACCTACAAGTAATACAATCCTTTATAGAGAAAGTTCTAGAATACATTAAACCATTGCTATTAATATTTGTAGACTTTGACAAAGAATTTGACTTAGGCCAGCAGAGCGCCACGTTAAAAGCTCTTTAAGAGTTCAGTAGTGCAGAGTGATCATAAGTACACAACCTTTCCTCGGAATATATATATATATATATATATATATATATATAATAGCACAACAGCTGCAGTAAATATGTTTGGGCAGAAAGAAAAAATCCTGGCTGAGACACTTGAGAGAATGGTTTCAAATATCAGAAGCTGCGAACATAATTCATGCGGCACAAAACAGAGAAACCTATCGTATGATGGTCGCCAACCTTCGGTAGAAGACGGCACATAAAGCAGAAGAAGGCGACACAAACACATTACCCTTTGAGAAGAATATTAGGCAAACATACACTATTTCTATTAAACTATTCACCGTTTTATTACAGAGTGCTATAAGAAACAATCATTAAAAAAATATTGAACATATCACTACATACCTATCAACATAAAGGGGAATTTCTAAACAACTTGAGGTTTGCAGACGGTATAGTGCTTATTGCAGACCGAGCAGATCACGCCTACCAAGTTCTTCAAGACAGAGACAGAGTTTCAAATAAAGTAGGAAAAGAGTTGATGCTACGCACGCCGTTTAAGTAATTACAACACTGAAATTGAACTGGGCAGAGCATGTTACCAGAGTTAGAGTTGGACGATGGACCAAAAAAATTTTAGAATGTAGACCTAGGCACGATGCTTATCCATCGTAATCGAAGACGTAGCATTAATCACAACTGAATTTAAGTCCAGATGTACTGGAAGTATTTACAGGAGGCTTATGTTTAGCAGGGAACTCAAAAGACAATGATAATGATGATCTATTTATAGCCTTTTATCTAATTACATTATGAATATAGGTCTTATATTAGTATATTTTGTTGTGTCCTATTATATCAAATATATCAAGTTGACCATTGTTATTCTGTGAAACTTAAAAGCATTGTTGTGTTCTGTGTTTCATGTTATATTAGGTACTTTTATTTGTTGTTTTCTTGAATTAAATGGTCATTAACGTAATATTAGAGTCTTTAATATTTATCACGTACAAAGGTTATATTAATAATATACAAATAATTATAAAGCAATGGCGCACTCTCTTTAAAACAAACCTATAGTCGTCAGAAGTAATAAAAAAACTTAAGGAATCAATATTAAAAAATTTGGAATTTTTACAAATGCATATCGAAATTTTAGTTAACAGACAAGGAACAAATTGCTCATTTAAACTTGCGAGTT